TTTCTTTCTTTCTGTTTGACGTCCGAGCAGCTGGGAGCAGCCTGGCAGAGGGCCTTGGTGAGAAGGGGCTCAGGCGCGGGCCTCGGCTCTGCAGGCTTCAGCAGCAGTAGGTGCCCGGAAGGGTCTGGTCTCTCCTCAGGGGTCAAGGGCACAGGCCCTGCGGTTCTTGGCCCAGGCCCTGAGTGGGCAGCTGCAGAAGGGGAGCTGGAGGCCTGAGGGCCTGGGCGGTGGCATCTCCCCCCAGCACAGTCGGGGCGGGTGTGCTACCGCAGCGCTAGCCTGTCACCTCCCCTTGAGACTCAGCTTTCCTCTGTTGCCCACTCAGCTTCCCCCTTCTGTGTACCTTCCAAGCCAGTCACAGATGGGCGCAGAGGCTGGCGGGGGAGCTGGCAGCACGAGGCACGGGATGCTCCTGGTGCCCCCCGCCGTGGCTTAGCAGCGGTGCGGTCGATGCGGCCCCAGCAGGAGCCAGGAGCGGGCACTCAGTCACATGGCGTCTGCCCCTCCCTCTGCCCCTGCGTCTCCCGGGACTCGTCCCCCTCCCTGGTCCCAGGCCGACTCCACATTTCTGGGGCGTTCGCTTCGTTTGAACAGACAGGGCTCTCTGGTTAGTGTCGTCTGTCTCCGGCCCGACCTCGGTTTTCCTTCTGCCTCCCTTCTCCCCCCACCCCCACCCCCGGTCTGCAGCTCACACTCCGGGGGGCCCACCAGCCTTCGCTGACACACGTGGCAGTGGTGCACTGGTCCCCTACCTCTTCCTTGCTCCCTCGCCTGCACCTGGGACCCCCCAGCCCGCCCCCCGACGAGGCAGGGGACGGATCTGTCCTTTGGGCGTGAAGAGCGTGGCACGCGGGGATCTCGAAGTGCTGGCGTTTTCATCAGCTCAGTTAGTTCGACTTAAAGACAGGAGAGGCAAGGGAAGCGACAGCAGCCGATCTCTCAGGAGTCCCTGGTCACGCCAGGGGCAGAGAGCAGCTGGCCCTAAGAAGCCCTTCTCTCACGACCTCCTAGAAAGCGTTCAGGTCTGCAGTGGCCTCAGAGCCACCGTCCCCAGCAGCCTCTTCTCCTCTCAGTCACTGCTGATGCTGCCATAGGGGTGGAAGCGGGCGCCGAGTCTAGAATCTGGCTGCCTGGACTGGGATCCTGGTTCTTCTCGTCATCTCTTATGTGACCTGGGTCGAATTGTTTTAACCTCTCTGCTTGTTTTCTCATCTATAAAAATAGAGAAAACGACAAACAGTATCCACTTCAGAGTTGTTACGTGATTCGAATGCGATAACATATGCGAAGTTTGTGCACGGTGACAACGCCCGTTAGCTGTTACAATTGCTAGTACAGTTGATGCCAGCCTCGTTCCAGCCGTCCGAGGTCGTGGGATGCTGCCTGCCTAATTTCGCCCTTCGTGCGGAAACCCTGGCAGCATAGAACTCAGCAGGCTGAGGAGGTCACTAATGAGGCCCCCGGAGGTGCTGCTCCAGGGGGCTGGTCTCTGGGGCGGGAGGGGGAAGCAAGCACTCAGGCAGCCCGCTCCCCTCCCGGGGGGGTATGCGTAAGGAGCCCGGCTTCTTCAGTGCTTGGCAGCAGCAAGGGGCACAGCCCAGAGAAGAGAAGGGAGACGTCTAGTTCGGGAAGTCCGGCGTGGTTCCGCCCTTCCTTTCCGGGGCCCAGGCCCCCCCAGCCTCTTCCCCTGATACTCCCAGCTCCTTGCTTCATCTGGCTGGGTCAGCACAGGCTGGAAAACTTCTTTGGGATCCTTTCCGGCCTGTTCAACCAGACCCATTCCACGGTGAGTTTTTACTGGCAGATGAAAAGCAGATGGCCTCCGCCTGGTTTTGCTCAGCTTGTGGCATCAAACGGCGTGACGCTTCCTAAGAAGGGAGGAAGGGCGACAGGGAGCCTTTCTTAGCAGGCTCTTCTGCGTTACCAGAGAGGGGCTCCGTCCCCACCCCCACGTGGCGGAGCAAGGGGCAGGTTGAGGTGCAGGAGCCCGTGGAAGGCCAGCGTCCAGAGTGGAAAGTCTGCCATCGCTGCTCACGTGCCATTGGTGGTGTTCACGCTGACGAGGAGGGGGCCGTGGGGGGGTGGGAGCCTCTCCCCAGCTGCCCACACTCACGAGCCTCTCCCTCGCAGTGTTACCGAGACTTGGCTCTGGTGAGTCGCGACGGCATGAATATCGTCCTGAATAAGATCAACCAGATACTTATGGAGAAGTATTTGAAGTTGCAGGACACCTGTCGCACTCAGGTAAGGCAGGCAAGAAGAGACAGAGCCGGTTCAAAATCACAGCAGAGGATAGGTCCTCTCCTGAGGGGCGGGAGGAGGGATGGGGATGACGCACCCCGCCTTTGCGCGCCTAGCCGGTCCGGGGGTGGGCGAGCCCGTTTCTCAGGTCCACAGGCCCCTCCTCCTCACCTCTCTCCCTCTCTCCTGTAGTTGGTGTGGTTGGTACGGGAGCTGGTGAAGGGTGGGGTCCTGGGAGCCGACGGCGTTTGCATGACATTCATGAAGCAGATTGCCGGTGAGTCTGATGGCGAGCAGAAGGGGAAAGGGGAAGGGCCCGGAGACAGGCCGCGGAGGGGGACGGGTGCCCGCCGACTCGGTTCCCGCTCGCTGTCACTCCTGACACCACCGTCTTCCGGCCACGTGTTTGAGGAAGGAATGGAAAAATCACAGGGTCGTGCCTCATTTTCCTTCCTGCCAAACTCAGGGCCTGCTGTAGAATAGTTGGCTTGCGTGAGCCAGTCCTCACTCGGGTCTCGTGGCGTATTGAATCAGGAAGGATCTGGAAGGAATGGGGAGATCATGTTATGCTTTCCCATCATGTTATGCTTTCTGAAACCCAGACATCCCTGGCTCCACCCCCTCATTCTGAGCACTTGCTCCCTAATAATGATATCTGATTAGGGCCAGTTTGAGGGACGAACTAAGTCAGAGAACGGACCCTGACATTTAGGTTTTATTATCTCCTTGGCATCAGTGACATCCGAGCCACTGAATACCCAAGAGGCCTGGCCATGCTCTCTTCTGCTTCCGGCATGGCATGTGTTTAAAAGTGACCCTGCCCCTCCCTCTCACCGCGGCCCACTGGCTCTTTGCTTCATCTTTGGGATTTTATGTCACGCCGATGCTCCTGTTCTCATGTGTACAAACCTTCGACTGTGTGTTCCGTGACTGTGTGAACGCTGAATTTTTGACTTTGACCTGGGGCCAGATACGGCGTTGTGCGGGGTATTTTTATCCACTCTCCCGGCATTTTCTTCCCTGTTTGGCACCCCCAGTCCTCACTTTTCATCCTGAGACTTTGGTTTGGCATCACTGCATGTCAGTTCTGCCCTGGGATGTTCCACAGCAGGCACTGAAGACTGCGACAGCTGGAAACAAACTCTTGGCCTGTCACAGGGTTTGGGACATCCCGATGCTGGGCGGCCATGGTGACCAGCCACCTGCACCTCTCAGGCCCCATCTGCGATCTCACCCTTTCTTTCCAGGCGGGGGCTTTTCCCATCTCATTCCCAGACCTGCCTGTTTGAAGGTCAAAGTATCCCCACTCCAACCCCTAGTCTGTGGAAAAGCTGCAGCTCTGGTTTCTGGGAAAATCTAGAACCTTCCCTTCCCTTCCCTCTGGAGGCCAAGGGGGGGACTTGACAGCTTGACAGAACAAAAGGCAGTCTTTCCAGCCCTCAGACCATCAGTGACAGGCGGTGGTTTGGGACGGCCCAGGGGGACAGTGGAGAGATGAGCTGGGTCACCTGAGCCACTGAGTAGAGCCCATCTGAGTCTGGGTTCTCTCACCCTCTGGTCAGGTGGGGATGTCACGGCAAAGAACATCTGGCTGGCGGAGAGCGTTCTGGACGTCTTGACGGAGCAGCGGTAGGGTGGCCAGGGAGGGTGG